AAAAAGTTAGGATTACATCAAAGTTAACATATTCTTTGTTCATAAATGTGCCGAGAAAGTTGAACTCCAATATATCCAGAGTAAACATGATGTGAATTCTAATCATGCAAGTTGGAGAGACTTCAGACTTTCTGGGTAGAAGGCATTTCTTGGAGTTTCTGAGCTCAGGAAAAGAAGATCTAATAACGAAGCAGAGGGTCAGGCAGGCTGGGCAGTGCTGATTAAACTAGAGTGTGAAGTACAGATCTGCCCAGAACTGATAACCATGACCAGATGCCACAGTCCTCCAAATTACTCCTGCCCTTGTAAAACCAAATATAAGACTTCTCTGTGAGGAAGCTATCTGTGATGAGCTCACACTTACTTTGCAACTTCTCAGCACTCGTGGCCAGTGCAACATGCAGTTTTAGACTGCCTATGATTCTAAACCTCCACCACATCTACATTCTTTGCCCAATTCTCCTCTCCCCAGGATCGCTAGAGCCTACAAGCATCCTTGGAAAATTATAAAAGTGGTAAGAAAGTCAGAGTTCCCGATGCAAAGCCACCAGAGTTTAAGATGTTCTCATCCTGAGAAGGCACCCTGGTACTCGTACTAATAATAGTAAAGAAAATGGAGAAACTCTCTCAATCTAAAGGGACTGAGAAGACAGGGTGGCTGAGTTTGAAGCCAGCAGCTGCCAGAGTAACTGAGTTCGATCAGAGAAACTTTCACCTTGAGTGTCCCTGGCTTCATGACTAAAACTCAAAGAACACTTCTGTTTTGACATATAAAATGTCTTCTCTGACTATTTTCTGTGCCCTTCCCCATTGCTCAAAAGATTATTGCTCTTATCCACTTTTATTTTACACTATCATGACCAATCCTGCTGACTGGACCCTATTATTTCTTTGGTCACAAGGTTATCACATGGTTGGCACATGGTCTGGGACAGGTCAGCTGGAAATGCTGCTAGACTGAGATGATTGACAGATGAGCAGAATGCCATGATGGTCACACTCACACCCATGTGACTGTTTGTTCGAATGCTTTCAAACTAAATGACCGTGGAATGAGAGCCTCTCAGAGATGACCTCTGTTCTCTCATAGAAAAATGGGGATGATGATACCTGCATCATAAAATTTTCCAAAGATTAGAAATTAATGTAAATTAATCATGACAATATGTAAATTAAGGTATGGTAGATCCTAACGGATGGTCGCACCAACTCCAGTCGAAGGTTCTTGAATGCATGTGATATAATGAATTCTCTAAGAATTCTGTGCCTGCCTTTCCAACCCAAATTTGATTTGAATGTAATGAGACCATATGGAAAAGAAAAGTGATAGTAGCCTTCCAAGCAGAGAATTTAAAGCTCTGCCAGTTTCCTTGGGTGAGATGATCCAGGAACAGAGGAAACCTGATCAAACAGACCACAAAACCCAGATTTTCCAAACTGGACTCACTCTGGAATAAAGTCTCGTATGGATATTCCCACTGCATTTCAGGAGGGTCTGAAACCACCCCATTATTTTATTTTTGTTTGTTTTATTTTTGTAAGTTGCCTGAAAGAACTATGCCATTGGAGAAGAACTTCTGCATCTTTCTCCCTCCATTAAAAGTAATATATTGAAGAGGTTGAATTTTTCTCCACATTTTAGAACTCTGTCCCATTTTCAAATGCTTTGTGACTTCAGTAGATTGGCAAATGAAATATCCTAATTTTTGTCTCATGAAATACATACAAATAAGCACACATGTATCTTACTTCCTTTGTTCCTTCTATTCAAACTGTAAGGCAGAAAAATAGAGATGAGCTGGGTGGAGAGAGAATAAGGTCAGTAAGCCCACTAGAAGGGAGTCAAAGAGTTAACCAGATAAAACTAGAGGGCCAGAAAAGACTGAGTTAATGAGCTAATCAGTTGAAGCTCCAAAGGCCAGGAGTAACTTAGAATGTCCAGATATTCCCTAGATAAAGAAAAGTATCTGAGTACAGCCCGTGTCTTCATTGTGTCAACTGCATCATTCCATTGTAAGATTTACTTTAGCCTTGCTAAAAGGCCCAGCTTATTCTTTAACTTAACTTTTATGCTGTTTTTTCCTCCTCCTCCAGCCCCTAATCAAGTAATTTTGTAACCAGGCCAGGAGACAATCATCATAATTAAGTTCCCAAAAAAAGGCCCAGATATAAACAGCATAGTAAGAACAGAAGGGATTCTGTCTTAAGGCTAAGATTCCAGTTTAAAAACCAGGGAGTTAAGAAGTAAGATTCCTAGTGTTTAAGAACTAAGATTCCTAACATATTCTTCAGTAAACAGACAGTAACTCAACCCACCTTAAAGGAAGGCAAACAGTCTTAACTGATATATATGTCCCAGAGAGAAGTCACTATCCTGAGGGGTGGGAGGGGAACCAGATCAATAAATTTCTTGTGTTCAGTTTATTTTGCAGAATTAGCTGGAGGACTGATAACAGAGGGGAAGAGACATGGTGTCTCTCATCAGAGATAAGCATCTTGAGACCACATGACAAGTCTATACCCCCTGGCCCTTTGTCACATTCCTGAAAAATCCTTAAAAGCCTATAACACCACAGACCCCAAACCCTTAAGGGTGCCTCCTCCCTGAGGTGCCCACACGTGCCTTCTTTGAGCGTGTCACTCTCTCTGTCCTACTTCAGATAAGCAGGGCGGGCCTGATGAGAGCTCTGATCTGGGGCTTCCAAGTTCCCATCACCTGGGTGACAGGACAGGACCGTAGCTGTACGATCATGCGCCTGAGTAGCCTGCCTGAAATCTCTTTTCTTTGCCTTTGGGAATTTCTCAGAACATATTCTCACTCCATCCATTGCTCTGCAGCTCCCCCAAGTCCTGGAGTGGTGGGCACTTAGTTCCCATGCCCTGCAGATCCAAGCAGACAACTGGACGCCGGGTGACACTGGCTTCAGGAGTTGGCAGGAGATTATGCCCTTAGCCCGAGCAGCAGTTCAATGAGCTTCCCTTTCCTTCATTTTTCCTTCCTCTCTGCTTTATTCAAGTCAACCTGCCTCTATCTACCTTGACTCGGGCCCACTCCTCCCTTGGACTGCATTCAACTAAAACTTTCACTCTGAATCACTGCTGAGTCTCTGCCCTTCAGGTCGTTGTTCCTGTGGGGACAAGCATGGAGGAAATTAAAATTGATCCCCCTAACAAAACGATTAAGGGTAGAACTAAATCAGATTTTTAAAAACTCAATCTTTGAGGCCAGAAATAAAATTTTCTTCCTATATTGGTAAGGCTCTACAGCAAGAATCAGGGTATCTTATTAACCCAAAGGCTTTTAAAAATCTGCAGTTGGGTGTTGATGAAGTCATTGAGTTGCATTTCCTAGAGATAGGTTGGAACAAGAACCTATACGTGCCCTGTGTTCTTGTAATTCTACACAGAGTCTGAAGAAAGAACAGCCCAGAATTCCTTCCTGATTTACAATTCTCAGGCATGATATCTAAAAGTAATCAGAAAAACAAAACATAATCTTAACACAGCCTCTTCATCTTACCTATATGATGTGTTTTTTCTTTCTAAATTTTCATCTAAAAGCCTTGCTTGCATTTTTTTTGAAGCCCTGTTGAGGGACTCTTAGCGCCATCGTACCCCAAAGCTGCTGAGTCACCAGCCTGTGAAAGTTAGCGGCTGCCTCAGCCGCACCTGCCTCCTAAAGATAATGTAGATTATTAGCGGGCGGGATTCTGGGCCCAAGTAACAGACTTTTTTTTGGTCTCTGCCACATAGTAATATTTCTCTCGTCTCTATCTAAATTTGACTTGACAATTCCATGGGAATTGCCTCTCTTTTTTTTGCTCTCTCTGTATCTTTTGGACACATTTTATCTTGCCAGGTTCCTGACATTTAGGGAAAGCAACCCTATCTAAAGGAAACGTAAGTACAGAATTCTTTACAGTACAATTCATTGCTAAGGAAAGCTGTTCTCTCGTGAGCCTCCTAGCCTACATTTGACTTGTTTACAGGAATTATTTCTTGGCTTTTAAGAAATAGAAGGGTTTAATTTTAATTCTCTTTTTGTGAATGTCTCACTTTAAACGATGACCTGGGGCTTGTGGCTCCATCCAGCATGAAAACACAGCAATGTCCTGCTTAGGCGGGTTCACGTAGCAAACCCCTGTCAGTCACTAAGGAACAATTTAATTCTATATCCAAACTAGTGAAGGCCACCTACAGAGTAGCAATTATACTTGGGAGGAAGGACATAAAACTTTGTAGTAAATGTTCTGGCTGAGGTAAGAGGTGGGAAACTGCCAGTATCCACATGAACGCAGGTGGACCCTACGGAGATTTTGCAGGATATTGTCACAAACAGGTTGGATCACATCACAGGAAAGGGGTATTTTATGTTGTTGAACACTACAACATTTTGTATTGCAAAAGCCAATTACTGAGATGCTAATAATTTGAAATTTGTGATGATTGAATAGAAGATGTGCTTGAACTTTTAATTTTTTAGTGTTTGTCAATAAAGCAAATAAAATGAATAAGCAAAATGCAAGCTACATTTTTGAAGAAGAAAACATTTCCAAACTTCTGGGTGTGTTATTTGTCAAGTTTATTAGAAGCCCTTTTTAATTATTCATTAAATTAAGTTCAGAACGATCGACTCCTTTTTAGCCTTTGAAAGCAGTAACATTACATTTCTTTTTTGTCCATCTGCAGCTCTGTGACTTTGCTAATTTAAACTTGTCTTCCATCATTAGTCCAAGTTCACTCCATTTATAGAACTTAGTAGATGTTGGCACAAATTTATGTGAAAAAGTTGAAAAAGTGTTCTGAATAATCAACAATCACTAGCCCAAGTGGTAGCTGTATTGGTTAAAATTATGTAAATGTACTACAGCCCTTCTGACAGACTTAAAGATACACGAACATAAGTTTGACATAAATAAATGCCTTGGGTCATACAGAAGGGGCCGGGTGCTGGAGATGTGAGAAGCAGCAATGGATTGAAGCTTTTTAACTTGCAGGCGATGGACAGAAGTGGGCCAAAGGTTCTGGAAACAGCAGAAGAGATCCAGCAGAGGCGTCAGGAGGTGTTGACTCGCTACCAGAAGTTCAAGGAGCTGGTTGCTGAGAGGGGTCAGAAGCTTGAAGAGTCCTATTACTACCAGGTTTTCAAACGAGATGCAGATGACCTGGGCAAGTGGATGGAGGAGAAAATCAAGATTGCAGGAGATAAGACCTATGAAGACCCAACTGACATACAGGTCATTCAGTTCCCCTGACTTCTCCAGAACAGGCTCTGAGATCTCTGGGGAGGGAAACATCCTTGCAGTATAAGTGTACTTCTGCTTGACTGTAAGGGGACGATGTAATAGAAAGATTAGACGGTCTGTAGTTCTGCCCCTAAATAGGCCATATGTTCAACTCCTTAGGCCTCAGTACCTTACAAAGGAAACTCACTCTGGGTGGGATTCTATGAATGTGATATTGATGTGAAGTGAAGTTGTGGGCAGAAGAGTGACCGAGAGTTCAGACAATTTATGACACACTATGTGATTTCAATGTTTTTGTGACATGAAGGATGGAATTGAGGTAAACAGACATTAGTGTTTCTGAAAATACTCTCCACTGTCCTCAGAAACATATGAGTGAATCACAGTTTTTCCTGGGTTTTCCCCCAATGGCTATTCACACCCCTTGTAAAGTCCAAATGAGCTGTCTTAGAAGAGGTTTGGTGGGAGCTCACATTCCTACTTGTAGCACGTGACATAGTCATGGCCAGACGGTTACATGCCCAACAGGGGCAGCTGATGTTGGACAGGAAGTACCTGTAACAAGAACAAAGTGGTATCTATTAAGTGAGTCAATTTATATGTGACAAGAATATAATCTGGCATGCAAAAACCTCTCAATTAAAAAAAGCCACTATTGTGATGATAATATCACCACAGAAGGAAACTGAGACATCAAAATATAGAACATTTACTGGAAATTCCTCAAAGACAGTGGGGACAGGACAAAAAAAACCCTCTATGGTTCCTGACTGAACCTGGAACCCTTTGAAAATCTGTGTGCAGTGGTTCCATGTAGAGTGACCATTTCCTTTAGAATGTGATTCCCCCAGCTATGGTCGTAGGCTGCTCCTTAGTCTAGGTTGTACACGGAAGTAAGAACAAAAGGACCTCCCTATGGTCCAGGGAAGCGAGGCTTCATGAGCCATAAACTCTGATTTTTAAACTTCAGGCAAAATATCAGAAGCATCGATCCTTTGAGGCAGAGGTGCAAGCAAAATCAGGGGCCATTCCCGAACTGGAGGAAATCAGGAAAATCCGATTTGCTGAGGAGCATTTTGAGGACACCAAGGTACATGTGTGGCAGGGCTCTGTGAGAAATGTTTCTACTTGTTGATAACGTTATCGGAGTTTTAATTGATTAGCCCAGGTATAAACTTGGATGTATCTGACTGGGAACCAGGGTTCCTGCCCTCATCTCCTGCTGGGGTTGGGGCAGCACGAAAAATGATGGGATGTTTGTGTGTTTTTTTGTGGTGGGGAGAAGAGCTATGATATAAAAGCTGTCGTTGGATAGCATCACATTCTTCCTTATGCCACTTCAGGATAGTTTGACTCAAGGTCAAGTCCACTTCAACCCAGTTCCACATTTCCCATATGAACTGGCTTTCCAGTCCTTTCTAGATATTTCTTCTGACCTCAGAGTCCTTGTCCCCGAAACTCTTCAGACAAGGGATGCTCTCCATTTGAATCTTCTCTGAAATATTTCTACCTTTGTCTATGATACCTTGTTCTCTTCAAAGCCTCCATGCATCGAGTACTATGGTAGTTCTCTAAATCCTCTCTTCTGTTCATTTAGAAAAATTTCTAAAATCCCTTGCCTTCAGAAAATCTTCCCTGAGCACCGAAGACTGAAGATCACCACCACTTTGGAACCTGTTTTTAATGTATCTGCTTTTCTCTGACTTAATTTATGTACTGTTCCAACATGTTTGTGTTCATACAGTCAATGCAGGATATCTTTTTGTATGAGTGAGTTTTTTTTTTTTACTGTTGAAGCATTTTTTTAATGTCAAAACAAATTTGTGCTTCATATTTTAAAATGGGGACTGGTCTTTCCATATTTAGCATACAAGTTCTAGCCCATTTGACTGTTAACAAAATGTGGTCAAAGAACACAGACTCAGCAAAAATAGAACCTTCTTGGAAAGAAGACTGTGTTACAAGAAACTTTCAAAACCTCTTTACTGATATAAAATAGAAATCACTTTGTGTTATTCACACCTCTGTGTGCCAACAATCTTCTCCATTAATTTAAACATTTGAGAAATGTTTGAATTTCTCAATTCATGTCTATCAGAACTACTGGCACCAGATTGTACCATGACTGGATTCACAGACAAATGTGGTGTATACACACTACCTGGAGCAATGGGGTAGTTGAAAAAATACAGCATTCTTGAAGACAAAACATAAAAGATACTTCAATTTTATAAGATACATAAAACATGATCTTCTAAGATAACATGGCATCAAAACCCTCAACTACATAGTCTCAAAATTCTCTATTGCCACTAATTTCCTTTATTATTTAGCAAAATTTTAGCTCCTATCCTTTCTGGCAAATAGGCTGTTTCCTCTGTGCCTTTGTCAATGCTTAGAACACCTTCTGCCCATCATCACCCTATATGAAGTCTGTCAGTCCCTCAAAGTCCAGTGCAAATAAGCTGTCTTACATGAACCTGGATTCTACCTCGTCTTATAATTTGCAATCACTCCATCTTCTAAAACTCCAAAGCATTTAGGATTTCTTTTCTCTTATAGATCATATTTGGCTTGGTTTAATTGTTATTCCTGTAACTATTTCTTTCTTTAAATACTTGTTCAGCAATTAATGCACGAGTGAGTGGGAAGATACATTTTTACCCAGGCCCTTCTCTTCCTAAGTTCCTGAGCCTGGACCTGCTCTGCAGCAGGTCCTGTGTCTAAGTGGTTTGGTCTCTCCCCCAAAGACCCACGTGGAGGAGCTGCGCCACCTGTGGGACCTGCTGATCGAGCTGACCCAGGAGAAGGGCAGCCTGCTCCTGCAGGTCCTGAGGTTCCAGGAGTACTTGTGGGACTGTGAAGACATCTTGGAGTGGCTTCAAGACAAGGTATAGAACCACACAGTATGCATACAGGACTTCTCATCCCCTCGTCCCAGGCACCCCAGAGCAGCTGCGTTCAGGCCATTCATAAAGAGTCAAGGTATCTGTTTCTGGACTTGGTCCTGTAAAAGAAGGCGGAATTCCAGAAAAGATTTAGGGGTAATCGGGAGGTTAGCAACATCAGTTGTACAAAAACTGCGCAGTGGAACATGATCTGGGCTTGTCTCCCTTCTGCTTTCTGTGACCTTAACTCCTTTTTCTAGGTTTTTTTTACTCTTACTATAGGTCCAGGCTAAGAGTATGGCCAGCTCTTTCCCTAATACTGATTTTTCTAACTATTTAAAGAAGAATGCTCTGGCTATGACTGAAGATTTATAGATTTATAGACGTGAATGTTTAGCACAATGCTTTTGTATTCAGTGTGTTGAATTGAGTAGAATCGGGATGAATATATTTTTCATGTTCCAAAGCACAAAAGGGCACCTCCAGGGACTTAGGCCAGCACTGTCCCTGGCCTTTCTGAAGGATTACCCCAAGAGCACTGTCCCTGGGTCAGGGTGCCACCTCAGGAAATACACTCCTGCTTCTGGTTCTTTCTCCAGGGGCTTCTCCCAAGGCCCCTTTCTGAGTTATCCTGGAAATGCAGGCAAATATTTTGCACACCTGTAGGATTTCCTAAATGTGTGCTGGTGACTCAACACACTGTTCTGTGTCTCCAGGAGGCTCTGGTGGCATCGGAGGACCTGGGTGAGGACTGGGAGCGCACAGAGTTTCTATATAAGAAGTTTGAAGAATTCCAGCAGGAACTGACTGCTCGAAAGGAGAAAGTGGATGGAGTGAACAAATATGCCGATGCGTGTGAGGTGAGCTGCAAAAGTCAATGCAGGGAAAGGGTTCTGACCTTCCAAAAGAACTTCTGGCTGTTGGTAGGTGGAACATGAGGGATATAGGATATTGTGAGAAAGCCGAGGGGTGATTGTTCCTGGAGTAGCATGCCCAGAGCAGTTGCTTCTCCTCCTGGAGTGTTAAAGCTTGTGTGTGTGTGTGTGTGTGTGTGTGTGCGCGCGTGTGTGTGCGCGCAGAGGAAGTAAATCCACAGTGAGGTAATTCCTGCACCGTGCAGCACACCGGTCACTCGTGTTTATGCAGCACTCTTTCTGCATGAAGAAGAACCACAGCAAAGTAACAAAGAATGGAAAATAAAGGTGGGCTGTCAAAATACATATGATATCATTCTACATAGTTTCTTTGAATGTGGGGGAGAGGAAAAGAGTCAGATTTAACTTCATCTACTTAAGAAAATGCTGAAATGAGTTTTCAATATCTGGACAGAGAAAAATTCTCACTGTGGGAATAAGGAACTCTGGTCTATGCAAGAAAATTGGGACGTCATTCTGGTTTAATAGGTATTTAAAGGAACTAGGAACTCCAACTTTTCACTACTGTGCTTTTCCATTCATCATTTCATTAATCCTGCAGATCTATAATGGGAATGATCTTTTTGTGTTAATAGAACCAAGATTTCAGGATGGATGGGTACTGGAGAATGGAAAACAAGCTGACTCTCAATTTTTGTCCAGGGCACATTTCCAACAGTCCCTAAATTTCCTTCCTTTCCCACCTTCCTCTGGTTGCAGGGAGATTTTTCAGTTACCTATTCCAATCTACCAAACCACCACAGAAGTGAAAACAAGTATCTTATTTTTTCGGGATTCAGTGAGTCAGCTTCTCAGCTGGTAGTTCTTATTCCACGTGTTATTCTTAAGTGGCTGCAGTTGTTCAGTGTCTCAGATGTTCATTTCTGTCACATTCTATTGGTCTGCAAACCACAGGCTAAGGCCAACCCAGATCCAAAGGATAAGGAAACTGATTCCATCTCTTGAAAGGAGGACCTCATGGAAAAAGAATATGACCATGTTTTCTAACCTACCGAAAGATGGGTTAATCCAACCCGGAGTACATGCCCTGTTCTTTGATAGTGGGGCCCACAGAGCTATGGTACAGAAGGACCGCACACTCATGAAGGAGAGTGCAGACAATTCTGTCTGGAGAGGCTTTGGAATGGGGATGGAGATGGGAAGAAATGGAGAGAGGAGGAGTTGCAATACAGCAACTATTAAAAATTTCCAAGTATCAGAATAGGCTTATGCTACTAGTTTAATTTAGACTTTATACATTTCATTGCTTCAGATGGTTTTGTGAAAGTTATGAAACTTTCTGCAATATTAGATGTGTTTGCAAGTGTGTGTAATTCTGGAAAGAGGGAACTCTTATTAGATTCTCAAAGGTGTCAGGACCCCAAAAGAGTTAAGAACCACAGTGCTGCAGTTTGGGAAATCTAAGTCATATTTCACAGAGGGACTTTTCTTCTCCTTTCCCTTGGTTCCCAGGATTTTCAGGGGGTTTAGCAGACATCAACAAGGCAGAGATCTAAAAATAACATCATGTCTGGACCACCTGTTTTAGTAGGCCGGTCCAGTTTTATGGGCAGAAGATATAATATCTGGCTGATTGGTTTTCTAGATTTTGGTAATGTGAAGCTAGTTAAAGCTAGGTGAGGCTCAGCAGCTGGCTAAATGGTCATCCTCTGTCGCTTGCAAAGTATGCAACAGTGTAAAATGAAAAGTACTTAAATGATTTTGCAACAATCTTCCCTTTGCATAACTCCAGTCTGGTTTCCTCCCACAGGATAACCACCCTCAGTTGCCCTTGATTAAGAAAAAGCAGGACGAGGTAAATGCAGCCTGGGCTGCTTTCTACAACCGGGCTTCCCAGCGATGGGAAACACTGTCCAAGGACGCAGACCTCCAGCGATTCAGAAGGTATGAATCTGGTCACCACATTATAGGAAACCCTGCAGTAGCACCATGTCCCCTGTGTCGGCGTCCGTCTACAGTCAGCAGTTAGCAGCCAGTACCTCAAGTCAAAGAAAGTCATGTGCTTGCCTTTAAGACAGCCAGGGAAAGGGAGGTGAAGAAAATGGTGACCCATCCTATTGCTAAGTTTGTGGCTACTGGAGCCCAGAGCAGTAACAGCAGCTCTGGTGAGTTAGGGATGGAAGCCCTATGGAGGCGAGGAAAGCCGGGAAAGGACAGGATGGGGGTGGAGGGTGGAGCTGGGAAGAAGATTCATGAAGCGCTGACCCAGATATGGGAGTGGAGCTGGAGATTCTACCATCAAGACGCCTGCATTGGAATCCATTAAAAGCAAGACCTGGTTAAATTACTTTTTACTAGTGTGAGGAAGACGGTGATTGTGAACTGGGTGAACGAGGGTGGTTCTGGGGTGCCCTCTCTTTGCCCTGCGATGCGTTGCCTTGTTTTGCTGGAGCTCATGTGGATGTCTGGCAGGAATGTGACAGACGCTGTCCAGTGGATCACAGAGACAGAGCCTCAACTCACCTCTGAGGACTATGGCAAGGACCTTGTTAGCGCCGAGGCACTACTGCACAATCACAGGGAACTCATGAAGACCATTCAAGTCATGGATGACAGGGTAAGCCACTGTTGGAGGAAGGGAAGGCCCCTTGGGCTGGAAGAGGCATTTGGTGGTCATTTTGCCTCCAAAGGATGCAGCAAATTCACTACATTAATGAAGGAGAAATTCTGTGGCCTTTAGGTCACCTCCTCATGCTAGTTCATAATTTGTACATAAATCCTGGATGCCCCTTGTTTTTATTTAAATATACATATTAGTTTTCATACTCTTGTGTTTCTTTGTAATAAGTTTCATGATTAAAAAGCGAAGCAGATAACTTACAAGAATGGTTCCCCAATCTCCCTCCACACCCTGTGGTCAGAGAGTCTCTCCTTTCATTGAACTGCATTTTCTTCTGAATCCATTTTCCTTTTGTCCTTCATTCAGTAGATAAAGGAAGACATTTCTTCTTCCCCTTTTACTATAAACTCAGAGTCACTTAAAGCACATTACTAAATCCACTTGTGTGTTTTTGAAAAACTGGAGATGCCCTGTTCCTATGCCTAGAGGAGTAGACAGAGGCACGCTGGAACCTGAAGCAAGCTTGTACTCGTCCATGATTCCATCCTTACGTTCCCCCTCAAAACGTCAGCCACAACTGAAACTACCTACTCCCTGGTATCGACTGTGGCATCAGCCCACGGGAGGGTCCCCACTTGCTGTGTGCTAATCATTCCTCGGTCCCTGCAGCCAGTTTCTAAAAACTGTTCCACCATTCCACTTTTTTTAATTCTTGCTCATTTTTTGTCTTTGTTTTTCCCCCCAATAATGAATAATAAAATCCCATGATCTGATAAATAATGATAATGAGATCGCAAATCCTAGAATACAGCTGAGTATAGCTGAGTATAATGAAAGGACTGGCAGTGACATGTGGAAAGTTACCCATATCCACATCGTCCTAGTAACTGTGCTCCTCAGGAATTAGGCTCAAAATGGTCTGGCACTACTGGAATTTTCTTGGCAGAAACGTCTTTCTGATTTCCACAGTAATATTTATGGAAAGAATATAGAGGATAATGAAGGTCAGTTGTAGGTCTAAATCTTGCTCCTGACACCAGCTGAATGACCTTGAGTAAATAAAACACTCTACGTCTCAGTTTTTCCCATAGGAGAATAAAAATGGTTTCTACCTCAGGATTAAAGGAAGACACAAAACAAGAAAATGCATGTGAAGTGCTCAGCACAATGAAAGAAAAACAGTGCTTGGAAAATTATTGCTAATGTAATGCTTAGTATTTAATATAAATAGATCAACATAAATGTCTTCATAGGATTATTTTGTTACATCCCTCCCACGGAACTGCCCAGGAGGGGTCCGTATTTGGATTCCCCATGGTGTTCCTTTTCCTTCCCACAGGTGAAGGGCTTAGGCGTGGAAGCAGACCAGCTGAAGCTTTCCAGGCCTTCCGATGCCCCTGAGATCCAAACGATGGAAGAGAATCTGCACTCCAAGTGGGAGCACATATATGCCTTGGCTACCGGCAGAAACAAAAAGCTAGAGGATTCTTATGGGTGAGAAATCCCTCCTTTCTATGGCTCTACCTATCTCTGCAGTGTCCAGGGATAGCACCAAAGAGGTAATAAAAGTGTGAAAAGAGTAAAATCGTGAGGGACCGAGCCCTCCTGCCTGCTTAGTAGAAGCAGCAAAAGTTTTAATTTGTCAAGAGAAGTTCTTGGCAGGCTGATAGAATAGGGGAGGCCTGCCCCCTCCGCTCACCTGCACCCCTTCTCTCTTCTGCTGCTTATACAGTTGTAGATGCTCTGAAGTGGCCCATGGAACTACAAAGGCGTCTGGATAAACATCAAAGTCCTGGCCCGTGCTGAGGGACTGTAGTAGTTTCCAGGCTGAAGGGTATAAAAATAAATCTAGAATTATTTTCTGAACATGGATTACCTTGCCAAAATCTTGGATATCACTTCAGTAGTTAATTTTCATGGTTAGTCATCAAGTCACCAGAACACAGTGTTTATTTTATTGTCATGATTTAAAATCAAATGGTTAGCATTTAATTTTTTGAATAGGTAACCATTTTAGGGGGGTTTATTTTTTATGAATAGGGTAAAGGGTAAACCACAACGCATGAAGGCTCCTTACCCTCATCTACTCCCCACTTCCACAAGGGGCTTCCTTTCATTTGTCTGTTATGTGCTTATTTGTTGGCCTCCCCGGAAGTTCTTTACTGCAGTTCAAGGGTCTCTGGGGTGGCGGCGAGCTTGTGATGTTGGAGATGGAATGCCCATTGCCCCATCACTCAGTGACACATGTACCCTAGGAATATACAACCTGGAGTGAACCTGCACCACTAAAGGACAGGAAGCGTAGGTTTAGGGTGGGAGCACATCTTTACCCAACCCACCTCTAACTCTTTGTTCAAAGTCCATTTACATCTGGCTCCTCCCCCCTGCCCTTTCCCTTCCCTTTTCCCCCAGCTACCAGCTGTTCTTATCTGACTATGATGAGCTCTCAGGCTGGATGAGCGAGAAGACCGCTCTGATCAGCGCTGACGAGCTGCCCACAGATGTGGCTGGTGGGGAAGCCCTCCTCGACAGACATCAGCAGCATAAGGTAGAGAGGACGGGCGCCCCCAGCAGGAGGGAGGAGGAAGTGCCACGAATGCCAGAAGGGTTCTTGCTGCATTTTAAGACATTTTGTCTTGTGGCCACAGAATGAGATCGACTCTTATGATGACCGATTCCAAACTGCTGATCATATTGGTCAAAGGCTGCTGGCTGCCAGTCATGAAGCCTCTGATGAAGTTCAGGAAAAGGTAATCAAACTTAAGAGTTTGTGAGATTTCGATACATACTTGGCCCTTGCTTAACCTCATAGTAATATGATAATCTCTGAACAACAAGAAGTTAGAAGTCATAGAAACATCTTAATATGGATCCAAATTTCGCTCTGCTTCCTTCATGTATTGCTTTAGCTAAACTGAGTTATTTGAAATTCTCAGGGCATGAAGTGTGCTTCCTCACCTCTGATCCTTTATCTCATCAACCTGCCTAAGGCCATCAGCCTACCTGCTTGATCTGAAGCCTCCATACCACCTTGCCCTGTTGCATATGCTCTGTTCTATCACTCTCCCGTTATCATCTCTAGATTGTAAATTCTTTAAGGACTGCACCTATTTATCTCTGGGTTCCATAATGTGCCTGGCACATAGATAGCTTTCTTCTCTCCTCAAAACAACCTCAAATCAAACTGATTTTTCTATATCTGTATTTTTCAAATCTACATTGATCGACAGGAAAGCTTTGAACAGTCCAAATTCCACTGAATGAAGAATCGGGTTTGCCATCATCCTAACCTGCGGGGTTGCAGAGCTCTCCTCAGCCACCTGACCCCAGAGAGGTTTTGCACCAGTCACAGAGTCACAGGAACCCCTGGGGATAATAATTAAATTAGGATTTGCAAGTTCTCTGCCTCTCATTAGATTCCAGGCACAGCCTCCGGTGCTGCATGGTGGGTCAGGTTGAGATGACCATATTTTGAGTTTACCCAGAACTCTATGGGAAAACTATAATACAAAATTTTATTTTTAACAATTTTCTGCCGAAGAAATAACAGGACCCTAAATCATTGACTACTTACCTATTATCCTGGGATTCTGAGAATCCACGCTGCCTTTCTGATGGAGTTAACATAGCAGCTGTGTTAATAAGCTGGAATTTCTTACGCAGATGCTTGCGCAGAAACATTGGCTTTTATGGACTTGAGAAGGTCACTTATCTCCTTCCTTAAAGGTCTTATTTGCTTTCAAAATAGAATGCAAACTTTGTCTAGTAATTTAAGTGATCGATGAACTTGAACTTTATCAAACATCCACCTTTTTCAGATGCCGTGCTTTTCTCCAGGGCACTTTGTCTGACCTATTACTTGGGGTAATTACCTGCTTCTTATGGTGTGTCCTCCTACAGTCCTGCTCCCTCCACCCCGCCCTTAAAATCTCTGTTTGGCACACCTCTTCCCATATTTCTACTCCCTGCTCCTTCCAGTCAGAAGTGACCTTTTCTTCTTTATTTGTACATGTTAAGTGTGTTAAGTGGAATTAATCCCATTTCTCCTATGCTACAGTTACTCACTCAGAAGTTGAGTAAGAGAAAAGCCCATTCCTTTCCTGTTTGCTTTGATATCCTTCAAAAGGCTTTGCATCTACCAGATGCTCAGTTCATGTGGGATAAAACTGAGTGATTAAATACCTTCCTGGTACATTACCTCTTCCTTTCCAAAGATGACAACACTCGCCAACAATCGGGCTGCCCTGCTGGAGCTGTGGGACACGCGCCAGCGACAGTATGAGCAGTGCTTGGACTTGCACCTCTTCTACCGTGACAGCGAGCAAGTGAACAGTTGGATGACTAGACAAGAGGTAACCGGAGGGGCTCAGGAAGCGTCCAGGAGCCGTTTCTCCCACTCCTCATTTACCCCCAGAACTATCATCGGCATCCTCACAACCGCTCCTGTGGGCCGAAGCTTGTCCTGGGAACCAGAGAGAGTAGTCTGCAAGGAGAAGAAAAGATTGACTGTCTCTATATGGCTCCTAGAATTCCTTTATGGACAAATGCATATAAGAAAATATAAATACATAGCAGAGAGGCCTTAACCTCAGTGGAACATAAGACAAAATGAGTATCGAATCGCTAAGGGGTCAAGAAGAGAAATTGTGATGAGATTTCTTGGAGGAGGTGAATGGTCCTCTGGAGCCGATTTGAGAGCTCAGAATAGGGCCTGGGAGAATTTGATGCAGATAGACCCAGAGACAAAGGTGGAAAAGTCAAATGGGAGGGTTGGGTAGGAAGTCTGAAGTCCCTGTTGTTCGTGGTGAGTCTCTACCTGCTATCCTTCTTTGTGCCAATTCCCACCTGTTCTCCAGCCCCCGCACCTCCATCCTTGGTCCTTGCTTCAGAGCTATTCCAGAGTGAATATTGCTCACCAGTGGTGCACGGCTGGGATGTGTCTTTCTGTCTTCTACAGGCCTTCCTGCAAAATGAGGACCTAGGAAACTCCTCAGCCAGTGCAAAAGCCCTTCTTCAGAAGCATGAGGAATTTGAGGAAGCCTTTACTACCCAGGAGGAGAAGATCACAGTAAGAAATGGGCCCTGGTTTGGACATCGGCTTCATGTTTGTGCACATCATCTCATACAGTACCTGTCCTTAGAATCACTCCTAAATATCAGACATAACACTAGGATTATTCTTAAAGGAGAGAACACACAGAAAAAAAATCATACCCATTTTTTTATCAGTACATTTTTTATTCCACAAGGCATACTTATAAAGCTTTTAAAGATTTCAAGCCATTTATAGTTTCTGATGAAGAGCTTATCTTATTTTTTTCCTCCAATGTACATAGAAACTATTGGGCCCATATCTGATATAGAATCATTACTTAAAGGTTTGAAATCTATTATTCACTTTTCCCTTTCCAGTAATGTCTCCATTTAGTTTTCTCTAGAAAAATCTAGTTATCTCAGCATTATCTGTTCTTTTCATGTATATCTTCAATTTTGTGTTTCTCATCTAATGCTGTTACAATTTTTCTGGGAAACTGAAGTTAAAAGGTCCCCCAAACTGGTCAATATATAAACAGGGCTCGGAGAAGTGTGATGACTTTAGTGGTCTATGTATATGCTGTATGCCTTTGGCTGTCTCCAAGGATGGTACTGGCTTTGAACTCACACATGCAAGTCACCACCACCAGCAACAACAACAAAAATACAATTCTAAGTCTTCTCTGTTAATCTTCAGTCAATACAAAGCTTAATATAGCCCCTTACCTACCCATATGTCTGTTCTGTTGATTCTTTTTGGTAAAAGCTAACAATGTAAAATAATGTATTGTTTTTAAAACACTGTGGTTTATTTTAGATCATGTTCCTGTTCTCAATCAGTTAATCCATGCTGATCTCTAGCAATTTTGGGAGGTCATGAATGAATATGCGTAAAAATTCACCTCTTCAATTTCTGACTCCTCTCCCCATGTGGCTAGAGATATAGAAGCAGATATAAAAATATATCATATATGATTGTTAGATAGACGACTGACTGGCTACTGGTCTTGGCTCTATCAACAGTACTTCCTCTTGAAAATCTGAGCATAGATCAAATATTCATCTTGTAGTGACATCAAAGTTCACTTACTGCAACATAGATTTTAAAATATTGCAGTACAGAGAGGGTAATTAACTCGCCTGATATATACATATTGAAATCCAATTTAGAACAGAAACCAGAACTAGGACCTGGATCTTCTGATCCTGGAACTTGTCCCCTTCCCACAGTTAGCCAATCTGTGGCCACTTACTCAATGGCCACTGAGGGAAAACCACTCCATTTTTTTTTCCAGACCTTAGACAAGACTGCTACCAAACTGATTGACGATAAACATTACGATTCAGAGAAGATCGCTGCTATCAGGGAGGAGGTATGCCCAAGGTCCCCTATGTGCTTCTGCCCACCTGTGCTGTAGGGTCAGAAAAGTGCTGGTGACATGGTGAGCAAGGTAAGCAGTGAATCTCCTGCGTCCACATCCGGTTTCACTGACAATGAGTTTGTTCGTGGTATTTGCAGCTGTTGACACGGCGGGATGCCCTACGTGAAAGCGCTGCCACTCGACACAAATCGCTGGAGCAGTCATTGCTTTTGCAGCAGTTTTTTGAGTACTCAGATGACCTAAAGAACTGGATCAGCAAGAAGAAAAAACTGGCAGATGATGAAGATTACAAGGTAGGCGGGATTTTCAGACCCTGGACGTATTCATCAGGACTTAAGTTTCATGAAATTAGAGTCTTAGAGCTCAAAGGACAATAGCATTCAGCTCGGGAGCCCCATTTCATAGATGAGAAGACAGAGTCTCAGAGAAGGGCGATAGCTCCCCCAAGGCTATAGATCTGGTTAAAAGCCAAGAATCCAGTCTCTGGCTTTCCTATACCCTGTTGCCTCTGCCCCCTTTCTCTGCCCAACTTCCAATGGTCCTTAACAGAATGGGGGGTGGGGGGCACCGCTCCTTGACTATCTGCTTCTTGTCCCTTGATCATCTCTTCTCCCCTCTGTACCCTTATAGTAGGAAAGCAGCCTGTCTCATCACAGTGTACATTCAAATTTACTGAAAACTGCTGGGAACTTGAAAGTAACCTATGGGTTTGGTGTAATCTGGACAAACAGTTTTATAGTTCGAAGGGACCAACTCCTTATTTCATAGAAGAGGAAACCAGGAATTCACATTGGACAGTGAATTACCCAAAGTTGCCCAGTTACTTACAGGCAGTGTAACGTAAGCATTAGAAGCATGAATTTTGGAGAAGATGAACCTGGGCCTGAATTCTCTCCCTCCCCTGTTTTAGTTTATGTGATGTTGGAAAGTTCCTGAGCTTTCTCTGAGCCATAGATTTCTCTACCTTGGGGTTTTGTAAGACACATATTTTTCACTCACAAATGTTATATAATATAAACTATTACACACACACACACACACACACATACACACACACACACACACACACACACACATATATATATATATACTCATAAACTTTCACATTTATAACCAGGGTTAAATTAGTCTGTTCACAATACTGTATTTACTTTCCTAAATGTCATTTAGTCTGAAAGGCATACCTCTGATCCTTTTGTTCTTGGATCTTTATAGAACAGTGACCATCTTATCTGTACCTTTCAGTCTGTGAAGCCTGGTAATATGCATTTATATTGTTGAAGGAGTTATGGTTTCAGTGTGTAGGATAAACACATCTTCTCTATTTGGAGCAAATGGATGGATGGTTCATATATCAAGACAGGCATGGAAAACGTTTTCATGTTTCATGACAGCTCATATTGATTGTTAACACTTCCATGGGGTGTCATATCCAAGATGATCTTCAGGAAATATCTAGGTTTTGTAGAAACCTAACTTGATTAACCAGGCACTAATGAGCCATATTTGCCATGGGTATAGAAGGATGGATTGGCTAAAGGCATTTCCTAGGCATGCTCTGATTCTGTATGTGGACTAGGATGGTTCCCCTTTGTTTCTTCTTTTTTATAACTCTAACGAGAAATAACCCTTTCTCAAAATTTCTGCCCCTCATTCTTCAAGTAATAGTTTCCTTTTATTTATTTATTTATTTATTTATTTATTTATTTATTTATTTATTTATTTATTTATTGTCTCAGGATATACAGAACTTGAAAAGCCAGGTTGAAAAGCAGCAAGGCTTTGAAAAGGAATTGGAAGAGAATAAAATCCTGCTCCATGAACTTGAAAAAATGGGCCAGGGGATGATCAAGCATGACCACTACGCCTCAGACAAAGTGGCCGCTCGTTTGAATGAGATCACCGGCCTCTGGAAGGAGTTGATGGAGGCTGCAGAGAAGAAAGGTTAGGAGCAGAGGTCTTGGGGGAACGGCTAATTCCTCAGTTCTGATACCACCACTTTTATCTTTACCACCTTGAATTTACCTGGTGCCCTCTCTGAGAAGGTCATTTGCTTCCTCTATTATTCAAGAAGTTTCTGAAATCCAGCCTTAATTTATCATACTATATATTTACACAATATTATATTTTCTTCACATATATAGTTTTTCTAAGTGAAATTTCTTTCATTTTCTTCACTTGTCTCTCACTTTTTTGTTTTCTCTTGAATAAATATTCAGGAACCATGAATTCAGTATTGGCTATGTGCCTAAAAATTAGTGTTCTTATATTAGGTTTTACTTGCTTTGGTTCTATATCCAAGACATTATAACCCAAGTTATTAAATTAGACATTAAAAGATTGTCAGTGCCCCATGTAATGTTCCTATAATATTTTTTTAATTCCTATTGCTTTTACACCTATCCAAGAGTGTTCAGCTGTGCTGTGAGCTCTTTAAAAATTTCCACATGCCTGCTTGAATAGTCTCTCCCTATAATTAACCTCACCTTTACTTTGGAAAATTGATCTATTGTCATAATTAACACAAATAATGAGGTTCCTCTGTCAATATGCCCTTTGTTGTGAACATCAACTTTAGACATGAGCGCCATCATTATAGAAGAGATACAACATACTGATACTGTGGATGTCATCCTGATTTTTGGCTTAGGAAAAACAATCTAACTTGACTGTAACAATAAGAAGTCACTAACTATCACTCCCCATCACCAGGAGACACAGTAATTGCTTTGCAGAAATAATGGAAATAATTGCTATAAGGTCATGAAAGAAAGAATGTAACTGAGGACCGTGTGGGTAGTCAAGACTGGAGGTGAAAATTGTGGGGAATGGTTTGTGATGAAAGGCAGGCAGTAAAGGGAACGAGCAATGTTCTGAGAAAGATATTTATAAAAGGACACTTCAGCATTTCAAACTGTGCCAACCCCAAGTTTTATACTTCGAAAATGCAGTTTGGGTTTGAATCCCTTTGAAAAGGAGGCCTCAAAAGACAGTAAAAAATGACATATGCAAACACCCCAGATGTTTAAAATCTAGCACTGCAGTGCTACCTCATCAGGGAAAAAATCTTTTTGTTAATCTTCGCTTTGAGAACAGTGCTGTGTTCAGAAACAACATCTGAATTCTACAAACTTAAGGTGATTTCTTGTACAATCACATGAGGCAATTATGTTTTTTTCTCATTGACTATCAAAATATCATATTGCTCCTTAAACTGATGGGAGGTATACTGCTGGGCAATGAAGAAAAGGTATGGCACCTGTCTTATTCTTAATGTCTTCTCCTAGGGTCTGAGTTACAAGAAGCTAACAAGAAGCTGCAATTTGAACATAATGCAGAAGACCTGAAATGCTGGCTGGAGGAGGCAGAGAGGCAGGTGGCCTCAGAGGATTATGGGAAAGGCCTAGCAGATGTACAGAATCTACTCAAGAAACACAACCTCCTGGAGTCGGCTGTGGCTTCCCGTCAGGTGTGTGTGGCTGGCTCTGTGGCCAATTGTAGGCCCAAGCACCTGTGTATGTCCTGAACTTACTCATGATAAGTAGTTATCATTAAAAGAGAAATTAAGAAACCAAAGCTAAAAATGCCAAAAATTCCAAAAATGTTAGTACATTAGCTGCCTTTTCCATTATCTGTAACCCAGCCATTCTCCTGGGCGCCTGCTGTCTTTGCCAAACCCCACGGCAGGTATGAGCTTTTACTGACACTTCTGCGCACGGCCCTGTGCTCTCCATCCAGACACGTGGGCTTTTTCTTCGGCTTTCACTTGCTAGTTATGTGATCCTTGGTGTGTCTTTTCAGCTTTTCACACTTTCTATCTAATAAGAGTTTGGATAAAGTTGCCTCTTTCTGTTCTAACATCCAAAACTTGAAAATATCTTCAATCTTACCTAATTTTTTTTAGTTAAGAAAATGGACTCATAGAAGTAAAGTGACTTCTACGATGTCACAGAAAAAACTTAACAAAAGGCCAGGATTATGATGCCCTTAGCTTCAGAGTTCATCCTTCTGACAACCCACCAGACTGTTACTTAAAATAAATCCGTCCAATAACTTTCTAGAAATTAGACACTGCATGTGTGTTTCTGGAGAACTTGGTGGGTTCCACTGCCAGCTGACACAATTTCTCATCTGAGGAATCCTAGCTTATGTTTAAAAATGATTCTGCTGTCCTCTAGAAAGTCCCATTGATCTGCCTTTTGTTAAAATACACTTTGATGATGTCTGTTCTTTGGGATAGATGAGAAAGAGAATAATCTACAAAAATCAGAAAAAAAACCCACATTCACTTATATAGCTCTAAGGATGATTTGATGGAGTTTGAAATAAACTAAAAGGCTGGTGTTAAGAAATCCATATTAAGATGGTTTTGAAATCTACATGGAGAAAGAGTTTGGAGCACATAGGGAGGGAAAAGATAAGAGTTGATGAAAAGTAAACAAAAACCAGAAAGAAGAATAGCATGTGGAAACACATAATAAATAGGAGTATGTGACCCTATTTGGGAAAACTAGGGCATCCAATCACCAGGAATTGGTTCTTCTAGTTGAAGTAGAGGTTAAGATATACTGCTTGCAAAAGACATTTTAGATATGTAGTATGAAATTTGGTAAAATTCTTAAATATCTCTTAGCCCAAAGTCCTCTTTATATAGATTTGGAAACTAATATCAAAACAGGTAAAAGAGCTTCCCTAAGGCCAAGTGGCAATTGACTGGCAGCCAAGAAAAGAAGTCAAGGCTTCTGTCTCCTTAGTCTGGGGCATCTTGCACTAAACTAGAGGTTTCCAGATTATAGAGTTGCCTCCACAGTAATGATGACAATAATGTTTTAAAATCACTTTATTACTCTATGATGTTTTCCAGAGTTGAAGTGTACTTAGAGATGAGAACAGATGGCTAGTGAGAGATTTTAATTTTAATTCCTTATGGAGAAGTGAGTATATGTTTAGGAAGATATTTATGGCCCATGGTTGATCCAGATTGAGAAGACAAAGATCACACCCATCATAGGTTGAACACTGGATGGCAAAATAGAATAAGTAAACCAATGCTTGCTGTTCAGCTGTCTCTTGAACTTATTCTAGGAACCATCTCTCCCCACCCCAACGAACAGAGCAAGCAAAGACACACAAAGCCTGTGGATTGTGCTTCTGCCAGGCCAGTTATAGTTGATCACACTAATAAAGATGGAATGCATCTCTTGTATCTACTTTACCATATAAGGATACGACTAAAATTTTATTTCTAGGAAGATCATTCAAGTCCTTATTTCCCTATTCCTCTGTTCTCAAATAGAACTCAGACAGGAGACTGATTTATTCAGATGCACACAGCTAGGTAGTGGCTGAGGCAAACCCTTTGCACTTCTCTGGAAGTCTGAGGTTCTGACATTTGCTCTTGTATCACATTTTATCTCATAGGCATCGTTCCCGCTCTGCAACAAACTTAGGCATCAGAAGTTTCTGTGTTTTTTACAATAGCTTTTTGTACAACAGTATTTTACATTGTAAAGAGAGAGAAAGAGGATGAAAAGGGAACTGAAAAAAAGCCTCCCACTGTTTCCCTAGGATCCACAATTTATTAATATTCCCAAACAATCAGGATCTGTAGTTCTGCCTTCTTTGATCTCTTTGACATGATCTATCAATATTTTGTCTTTCTGAAATACGGTTTAAGAATCACTTCCCTATAAAGAGCTATTAGGTAGATGAAGTGGTCAGTGATTTAGCAATCTCACCCACTCTATTTAACTAATTTTATTAGAAAGCCTCACACAATATATACGGGAACTAATTCTCCCCATCCCACCCTCTCTCCAGCCCCTACACCAAGCTCTCATTCCTTTGTACTAAATGATGGCATATCCTGACACCCATCCGTGTCTCCCTCAGGATCAGGTGGACATGCTCACAGACCTGGCAGCACACTTTGAAGAGATAGGCCTTCCCGATGCTGGGGACATACGGTTGAGACAGCAGTCACTGGTGTCCCAGTTTGAAGCCCTGAAAGAACCACTGACCACCCGGAAGAAGATGCTCATTGACTACCTTCTCCTGTACCAGATCTGCAGAAACACAGAGGATGAGGAGGCCTGGATCCAAGAGACCGAGCCTTCCGTAGCCTCCACCTACCTTGGTCAGTGCGGCCTGAGTAGGCGGTGCCGTAGGAAGACCAAGTCTACAGCTTGGGAGATGTGGTGGGACTCAGTAGTGAGGGAGGACACTACAAAGTCTGTTCTCAGCTCTTTCTCCTCACTCATAAAAATTTTTTCTGTCTTTCATAAAAATATATATTTTAATTCATACTGAGAAGTTTATCTCCTAAAACCAGAGATGAATAATGCCATGAACTTAAGGCCTCTGGGAAGACCCAGAGGCCTCAGCTTTCTGTTACTTGCTCTGACTTAAGTTATACAAGGTTCTTGGCTGAGTAGTTATGGTTAGTGTTTGAGGTACCAACCGTTTTTGTCTATATTGTTGGAGGCTCCCTTTTATAACTGTTTGAGCTCTGACAAGGATAAAAGTGGGTTTAAAGGGAACATCTGTTATTATTTCTCTGTGTAGGCAAGGACCTGATTACCTCCAAGAATCTCCTGAACAGACACGAAGTCATCCAGACTGACATTGCCAGCCATGAGTCATACATTCAAACAATCACAGACAAGGGAAACCGAATGGTAGAGGACGGTACGTATGATTCTGTTTGGATTGGCCACACATCACTATGCCAAACTTATGAGAAGATGTTTGTTCCATTTTAGGGAATTTAAAGATATATGATCCACCCTCCCATCCAATGCTAGAATTTCCCTTGGGCATTTCTGACAGATACAATGACTAAACAATGTTATTTGCATATTCCAATAATAGGAACCTCCTTACTTCATGAGCCAGTCATTTCTATTTCTCTATAAAGCCAAAACTATAAAACAAAATATTTTTTGCCCTTATAATCAATATACTCTTCAGTGGAAATAATGGAATTAAAATTTAAGTTACAAAACCCCATAAAACAAATCAGGCTCTTTTCCCACATGGAAACTTACAGATTTGTCAAGCCATGTCTTAGGTTCCCAATGTCTTATAGTCTTTACAGTAAACAGCACCATTTCTTTAAATTTCTTATTTACTCTTGATGTTTGTCCTCCTTCTGGTCTCCCATCTTCAGAAATTCCTACTGCTTACACATGATATTCAGAACTGACCATAATATGCTAGGTGTAGTAGTAGCAATGCAATTTGCATTGGGATTTTCCCTCCATTAAGTAAGAATAAATTTCTGTCAGCCAGTATCTGCCTATCAAAAGTATAGTTTAAAATGCAGATTGTTGAGCAAAAGTTCCATCTCAGCTGAGTGATTCAAACCTAAAAATGTTTATTTGGAGCTCCTATTTGTGATTCATTTATTTGTCTTGAACTCTCCCATTGTAATTGTGGCTTTTATCTATTTCTCCTTTCAGTTCTATCAGTTTTTGCTTCATGTATTTTGAAGCTCTGTTATTGCATGCATATACATTTACACTTATTAAGTCTTCTCGATGAATTTAAATCTTTAGGAGATACCGTGAAGGCTACTTGGTGCAACTTTAATATAGCCATGCCAACTGATTTTGATTCATGTTTGCAAGTTATATTGTTCCCCATCCTTTTGCTTACACTGTTTTCTTTTTTTAATTTTAAAGTAGGTTTCTTATATAGTGCATATAGTAAAGCTTCAGTTGTATTTTATGCAATCTGGGAATCTCTCCCTTTTTGAATGGAGCATTTAGACCATTTACATTTAAAGCAATTATCAATATTGTTAAGTTTAAATCTAGCATCTTGCTATTTGGTTTTCTTTGTCCTTTTAGTTTTTGCTATCTTTGGATTAATTGTGTATTTACTGTGATTTAATTTTATCTCTGTATCTGTTTATTAGCTATATTTCTGTGAGTTGTGTGTACTTATGTGTGTTTATTCTAGGATAGTGATTCTCTAATTGTGGTTTTGTGGTTTTCATAATGATGCTAAGATATTCGTTGCCTTTTTCATAAGCATACAGTGACATTAGGAGTCTACATAATGTCTGATAATGCCATTGCTCCAATGATTAATAGAATATATACTTATGTACTCTTCTGTTTAAAAATTTTCTGTTTTGACTTTTGATATGGTGACTCTCAGAAGATGTTACCATATAAGCAAAAGCTTTTAGGGGTCCTCAATAATTTTTAAAATTATAAGGGGATTTTGGGAGCAAAAATTTAAGAGCCACTGTTCCTGGATTTAAAGTACAGATTTTAAACTTATCGCAGTGTAACTTCATGTAATATCAAACCACTTCATGTGTAGAATCAGATCCTTAAACGGTGTGCTCCCATTCTCTCCTTTCATCCTTTGTATATTGGTGTCACACATTTTAATTTTAATGTTATAAACACCACCACTTGTTATTATTAATTTTGCTTTAATAATCAATTAGCTTTCAAAGAGATTAAGAAATCAAAAAAGGCTTCTATATTTTCTAACTTATTTGTATTCTTCATTCTTTTGTATACATTGATATTTTTACCTTATATTTTCCTTATACATGAAGAACTTCCTCTAACATTTTTTTTAGTGCAGATCTACTGACCATAAATTCGCTAGGCTTTTGTTGGTCTAAGACTTCATTTTTGAAATGCATTTTTAGTAGACATAAAATTCTTCATTGGCAGTTTCTTTCAGTTTCTTTTACACATTCTGCTGCCATTGTCTTCTGCCTTGCAGAGTAACTCTGCTCCTGTACTGTCGTCTGTGCTCTTCTGTATGTAATGTGTCATTTTTCCTCTGTCTCTTAAGTTTTTTACCTCCGGTGTTTAGCAATTTGATTTCAATATAACTTGGTGTGGTTTTCCTGGTTTCTTCAGCTTGGCAGTAACTGAGCTTCCTGGACCTGCTTTCTGATGGTACTTTTAGGGAAGCCTTGATTCTGGAAGCAAGTTAGACATTAGTCCACTACTAAGCCATAACCCTTCTGAGGGCTCTACCTCACACATTTATGACATCTGTCCACTCTGATGGGTGCTACTTTTAATTATTCACCGTGCTGTGTGAGCCTTGGGAATTTTTGGCCTGCTGCTTTTCGGTCAACCTCTTTCACCCTCAAGGAGTTTCCTTACATGTGTACAGAGCAGTAATTCACATACTCTCAGGGACTTCTCTGCATATCTCCAGAGCTTCATCTCTGTGAAGCATCCTCTTCAGTACTCTGCTCCTCAGCTCTTGTTGTCTTGTCTTCTTCCAACTCTGATCTATGTCCTTTCACTCAGTGTAGCTGCTAATTCTTTCTGGGGAAGCCCTCCCAGCTCTAAGCCTAGAAACTGCTCCCTGCTGGGACATATCTCATTTCTTTCCCTTCTCTCAGGAGTTATAATCATCTGCCTATTGTCTGAAAATCATCATATCTTATGGTCTGTCCTGTTTTCTAGTTGGGGTGGGAACAATTTCTAGAGTGGGAGAATAATTCCTGTAGTAAGGAAACCTTTATGGGCACACATGGAAATCTGATGAATTTTCTGTGTAGTCTACATAGACAATACATGTTTTTTGGAAATCTGAGCAGTACTCACACATAGGTATTCTGTTTTCAGCTCTGTATGTGATGGACTAGTGCACCCCATTCACCACCACACATAGACCTTATATCCCCCATTAGTGCCTATTGATGACTGTTCTAATGACATTCCAGTTCCCGGGAATTTAGATAAAATGTCACATTCCCTACATGCAGCATCATCTTCATTCTTCCGTTCCTGCCTCCTAGGTCACCAAAAAGATGGAGGCACTGTGGATATTAATGAGGGTAACACTCACCTTTTCTGTAACAACCCCGTAGGACACTTTGCTGCAGAAGATGTGGCCTCCAGACTCAAGAATTTGAATGAGAATATGGAGTCTCTCCAGGCTCGAGCTGCCAGGCGGCAGGATGACCTGGAGGCCAAAGTCCAGCTCCAGCAGTACCTGGCTGACCTGCATGAAGCCGAAGCGTGGATCAGAGAGAAGGAACCTAGTGTAGACAACACTAACTATGGGGCAGATGAAGAAGCAGCTGGGGTAAGGGGGGCAGGGGGCCGGGACCTGTCCGGTGCTCTCCAAGCGGCACCAAATTACACTGTGGGAGGATCACAGCTTCGGTCAGAATATCTGGGGTTTCCAGAGTGATCAGTCACCCATGGACGTCATCTTCTGGGATAATCCCGGGGCTGACAGAAATCCTTAAAAATAAACTACATTTCCCTAAGTCCACAGAGATCCATAGATTCCTTAAAATTATCTAAATACAAAAAGGCATGCCCAGAGATCCGTGCCTGTCTCGGTCCCATACTACACTTCCCAAACTGACCTTAAGATTTCTGCAAACCGACCATGGTTTTAAGATACATATATCTTAATTACCTTTTCGAAATGAAATAAGATGGACCTGATGGTACAAGGGGTAATTTCCCTTTTTATCCATTTTGTTTTGTTTTGTTCATTGTCTTATGGTAAGTCAGTAAAGTATTTCATAAACCTTTGGCACTAGAAATAATTCAAATGGGCATCTAGAGTTATGCTAATGTTTAATTCTACAAAATAATGTTATCAGCAAAGCATCTTTCTGCTATGATGTTGATAAAACACAGTTTTGATCTCATTTAGATTAAAGCATATATATTGAAATTGTTATCCACTTAACTCTTATTTTCCTAATACTTGCAAATTTAGAGTTTAAAAAAAACCCTTTTATTATAGGTGGACAGTGTCTTTTACCAGGAATTAGGACAATTGGTATAACCCCAAAATAATAATTGAAAAACCCCCAGAGAGTCCTGCATTTGAGTCTCATGACCTTCCCTTCCACAAATCTAGGCTCTTCTTAAGAAGCATGAGGCCTTCTTAGTGGATCTCAATGCATTTGGAAACAGTATGCAAGCTTTACGGGACCAGGCAAAATCCTGCCAGGTAAGAAGGATTTAGGGATGACAAGAATCACATCCCCACTACAGAGGGAAAGGAATTCCCTGTATTACTGGTTTTGTTTTCTGTAACCCAGCAGGCAATTGCAAAGAAAATACTAAGATGATCCCTATAGGCAGGAATTGTAGCATGTCTGTAGCGTCTACAGAGATTGCATCACAGGCTGTGTTATGTGCTCATTGATGAAGTTTTGCTTTCCATTTTCCTTCCCTTTGAATTTCCACTCTCCTGTCTAACTTTTTTATTTACATCTCTCATTCTTATATTCTTTTCCTTCCATCTTATTTTTTATACCAATACTTATTAAATGTCTACTGTGTGCAAGCATGAATAAAAAATAACCCTCACTACAGGAAAATTATGATCTATTAGGGGGTTAGAAATTTTAACAAATAAGTGCATATAGTAGACATATGAACAGGAAAAAGAGTCTCAAAGAAATGAGTGTTTCCTTCTCTTGAAATTAGAATGCAAGGAGATAGGAAAGATTTCACAACTGAGGCAAACGACTTCTGAGTTATTTTTTTTTAAGAGGTTTTTAAAAATGTGATTTTTTAAGTGTGGTTCTGTAACATCTTCCTGTGTTGACAGAGAGTAATTGAACTAGTTGGAAGTGAGATTTGATAATGTGGGTAACTGTTGATTCACTGTGTTGTATACCTGAAACCAATATATTGTATATCAACTATACCTCAATAATAAAAAAATGGTTTACTGTGAAGACAAGGAGAAGGGCTTTTCTAGTCAACAAGCTCTGAGAATAGAGGCACCAAAGCACAAAATAAGCAAGTGTATTTGAGAAATGGTTGAGACTGGCTGGAGACCTAGAGTGCAAGGTGGAAAGGAGTGCCCGGGAGAGCAGTGGAATCAATGACCTGATACAAGTGTCTCCTGTGTGTAGTAAAAGGAAAAAGAGAAACACTTCTAATAGTCAATGAATTCTTTCTAGTGAGAGGTTCTGAATTCATCCATTAGAGTAAACAAAAGACATAGGCTAAGCATGTCAAGTCCGTATATATTTATAGAGCATCTATACTGCGGCTTCATCAAGCTGTGTACAATGGGTACACAGATGGATATCCACTTGTATATTATGAAGAAATGGTACTTGAAGGATATAAGATCAGAGGGAGGTAAGGGGAGGTGTATCTTCAATTCTAATCTGATGAAGGGGTGAGTTGTGCTTACAAAGAGGGAGTATATTTTGCCCGTTCTTTCAGAGATACAATATTCACAGAAAGTAAAAATTAGAGAAGTCTATACCTTGGAGAGAAGATTGTTTGCTAATGAGATATACAAAATATTTAATCTCAATTTATGCTGTCAACTTTTAACATTCTGTCGCCTTTCTTGTGCTATACATCACCCATCTTTAAAAAAAAGAAAGCTCGCAGTTCCTTGACATTACAATCTAAATGTCAAGGGGTGGGAAGGATTATCAGTGGAGGTCCAGGGAATGAAGAAGATGATAAGAGATAGTGGGTCTTGCACTTTCTCAAACAATTTTCTGAAACATTCACACATCGAATCCTTTATTATCTGCTTTAAGAACTGGTGATTTAGAGCATTTAATGTTTATGCCAAACTATGTATCACTTATTCACTCTGTGTTCGTATTTTCCAGCCTGCCTGTCCCCTAAGAAGTGTCAGGGCGGAGCAATACCTCAGAAAATGACATACTGCTACCTCCGTTACTGGCAGCCATGAAAGAGTTTCCAGCCCATGGCTCCTCTTTGCTGTCAGGCCCAGGGCTGCCCACCGCTGTAAGGCTCTTATAAAAGAGGTTCCCAGTGGGTGACTGACGTGGTTTGTTTTCTGCTTTTGTTCAGCAACAACAGGCTGCACCAGTGGAGGGAGCTACTCCGGAAGTGAGGGTCGTGGCTTTGTATGACTTCCAGGCCCGCAGCCCCCGAGAGGTCACCATGAAGAGGGGCGACGTCCTAATTCTGCTCAGTTCCATCAACAAGGTGAGTTCCCTTCTAACCTTTTCCCCACCAAGAAGGTGGTTCTTCCATATTCAACTCTCCCAACCCTGCCACATAATCCATATTTTGGCCAGCCAACATTTTTTCCATCGCTGTCTCTCTTAAATAACCATCATTTATGGCATAGTATCTTTCCTCCAGAGATGATGAAGGATCCTGTGCATACTTTTGGGGATTATAATGCCAATTATGGTTAATGAAATGAAGAGTCAGAGTTTATAAAACACGTAAGCAGTGAGTGGCAGGGAATTCTGTGCTGTGCTTACAGGATTAAACTGTCCCTCCCTTCCCATGCCCCTGCTTGCTCTCCGATGCCGATGTTCCTAGGGAGGGAACAGCACCGGCTGGGGTTGGCAGAAGACTGATGAGAGAAGTTTGGTCCACTTGGCTCTCTTCGGGCCTTATACCTGTAAGAACAGTGACAAAATATTGGCTAGGATTTTAAATATGCTTTTTCATAAGAGCTCTAATGATTTTGATATTCCAATAATTGATGGCCAAAAATTATTAGGAAGAAAAGAAGAGTGTTTGGAACATTATTACTCTGAGGGCAAGTGAGTTTTTTAGAGAAGCAAGATGTTTTACTATCAAATATGCTGTGTGCTTCTCCATTTCACCCCTTTATTCTCTGAAGAGATAAACTCCAGAGTGTCTAGTATAGCAAAACCCCCCAAATATTCTGTAGAGATCAGGGTGATATGTAAAACATAAAGCATTCACATAAGTGAATTTTAGGGCAGCACACAATTTTTAGGAATTCTTGGGGAAGGGTTGGGGAGGGACGTTCCCATACAATGTTGACATACACAGATGCATCCCCAAGACACCCAGTTTGATTCAGGCTCTATGGAATTTTCTGTGAATTCCTAGGGGGCAAAGTGCCCCATCATTAAGAACTGACTTTGGCTTTTGAAAACCTCATCAAAGTAAGTACCAATGTCAAATTCCTTTATTGCAGAGGCTTATCTCTGTAATCCCTGAAACTCCTTTTTTATCTTCTTTGTAATATGTTAAAGTAATAAGCCACTGCCCCACTGACTGTAGTGGGGTATGTGGTGGGGACTTGATAGTAGGGGGAATCTAGTAACCACAGTTTTGCTCATGTGATTATATATTAATGATATTAAAATAATAAAAAAAAGATGCCACTGCCCATAGGTGATGGTTTTCCTCTCTTGGCCATCAGCTTGGGCCTGTACCTACAGACTTAGTTACAAGAGTTGAAGTCTGTCCAATCTGTGGCTTTTCCAAGAACTGAGGAAGGAGTGGGGGTCTGCTCTCCCTTCAGGACTGGTGGAAGGTGGAAGCTGGTGATCAGCAGGGCTTTGTGCCAGCTGTCTATGTCAAGAAACTGGCTCCTGATATGTTTCCTACCCTCCCGAAGAGGCAGCGAGAAGAACCAGTCAACATCACCCAGTGCCAGGAACAGATTGAGAACCGGTAAGTTCTGGAGGCTGGTGAACAGGACAGGCTTTGGACAGACTTTTCCTTTCAGCCAAAGACACTTCTCACGGCTCCGCATCTGTTAGAGTGGAGATGCCATTGCACATGCACAGATTTTAAGAGCTGGGGTCGTTCAAATATGTCAGTTTGTATATGAGGAGAGGGAACGTCAGAACTATTAGATTGAGTCAATTTCCTGAAGCCAGATACTTACTAGAACATGTCTTCTGATTCCCTGTCCAGCAATCTTTCAGAATTATAGGAAACCTGACTTCCCGGGAAATCTGCAGACTATACCAGGCTACTTCATATCCAGTTGTCGGCAGACATGTGAAAATTTCCCTTCTGTAGGCTCAGGAAGGGATGGTGCCAGTCATGCAACTGGGGCATTGGCATTTTTATTATTTTTAAACAGAACACTGTGTGCTTGTCTCTCTGCTCTCAATGCTGTCTTCCTTCCATCTGTATTTCCTCCTCTCCTTTACAAAATCTTCTTTTTCTTCTTTCTCCTTTTTGCCCTTTCATTCTCTTCCTCTCTCGCCCTGCTTCTGTTCTTCTGTGCTTTCTCCACTTTCACTCCACCTTTCTGACTCTTTGCTTCTTCGCCCAGGTACAACTGCCTCCTCGATAAGGCAGAAGAACGCAGACGGCATCTACTGCAACGCTACAATGAGTTTTTGCTGGCCTACGAGGCAGGAGACATGCTGGACTGGATCCGAGAGAAAAAGGCCGAAAACACCGGCATGAGACTAGATGATGTTTGGGAGCTGCAGAAAAAGTTTGATGAGTTTGAAAGGGTGAGAATGATGAACCCTCACCTCTAGCCAGCTTTTGGAGAGCTATCACTGCTTCCTTTTACCCCATTCCTCCTCCTAAATGACTGCTTAATATCACATTTGCTAAATCCTTCCCAAGCTACTGAGCATTCCATATGTCAAATTTTTTTGGGGGGATTGAAGATGGAAGGAAAATACAAAGGAAACTAGTCAACCTAAATTTGCAGCCTTGAAGTCCTTGCCCACTCCTAAATCCTGCTGGGAGTCCTGGTCCCTCAATTCTTCAAAACTTGCCTTATACTGTACTGTGTTCTTGGTGTCAAGTTGAGGTGGGATGTTGTGGGACTCCATGGGACTCATAAAGTCCACTTATGGGGCAGAAATTGGCATGGGAAGACGGGAAGAACAACCTGACTTTACAGCTAGACAACTTCTAAGTTTCCACCTACCTAAAACCCTTCCATTCTCTCAGATTCATTCCATTACCTTAACTAGCAGTGAGCATAAAGCCCTCCCATCCTTTCTTTTTCTCATGGTACCTTCCACATGGAATTCAAGGCAATAGAAGATAGATGGATAGATAGGTAGATAGATAGATAGACAGACAGACAGACAGGTAGATAGATAGATAGATAGATAGATAGATAGATAGATAGATAGATAGATAGATAGATTAGATAGATATAGATGATAGATAGATAGATAGGTAGATAGATAGATAGATAGATAGATAGATAGATAGATAGATAGATAGACAGATAGGTAGATAGGCAGACAGATAGGTAGATAGATAGATAGATAGATAGACAGACAGATAGGTAGATAGACAGATAGGTAGATAGATAGATAGATAGATAGATAGGTAGATAGATAGATAGATAGATAGATAGATAGATAGATAGATAGATAGATAGATAGATTATAGATAGGGAGGTAGAGAGACAGATATACAGTATATATATATATATATATATATATATATATATGCACATATGTATACAAAAGTATGTATTTTTATATAGATAGAAATATATGTATGAAACCTGTATATAATTATATATTTAATTATCTCCCTCACTATGTAGTTTAGGAATATATAAAGAAAAAGAAAAGTGAAAAAAAAGAAAACAGGCAATGTTATAAAAGAATACCAAGAATGAGACTTTTATGACAAAACTCACCGAAAGGCTTTTGTATAATGTGATGAACAATGTTGTCACCATGGACATGGTGGTAAGGTTCCTGGAGCTGTTTCTTACAACTTCCTTTATTTAAAATAAACAGCTTGCAACTCAGTTAATGAAATTCCATAGAAGGTGGAGATGTTTGTATTGCAGAAAAGAATGTTCTATGGCTCAGGTATAGACCCCTTTGATGGTGTAAGTTAATCTGGGGAGAGATTTTAAAGAAATCTAGGAAAATGGACTTGCTCCAGACTCCAGATAAGTATCAGCTCTCTGGTGAAATTTCTGATGGTCCGTGGGTGTCAGGGTCTTTAAGCTGTTGTCCTCGGTGCCACGCTGGGTGAGGCCTGCTTGTTGGGTATTACAAGTGAGGTTAATGATATGTTTTCATATTAACCAAGTGGGGGCAGAGATGAGCAGGAAGAATAAAGATTCCTGGAAAATGGGAGTTTTCACTGCTGTGGACAAATTTTCGCACCCAGGATTTGAAGGCCAACGAGCCTCGGCTGAGGGATATCAACAAGGTAGCCGATGATCTTCTGTTTGAAAAGCTTCTGACACCAGAAGGAGCTCAAAAGCGGCAGGTAACTAAATCCGTTTCTCCTCACTGCGAGGTTGAACGCTGGGAGTTTCCATCTCAATATATTCACCTTCGTATTCCTCAGATCAGCTGGAACACAGAGGGTAATGCAGTGTGGAGCCAGCTACAGGGGAGGTCAAGGACATCAGTCCAAATAGTGTGACCGTGTACCTGTTTGAACTGATCTGAAATCCTTAAATTGCAACACATACTCATGTCTCTGCCTCCCACTGCCACAGACATGAGAAATTCAGCGCTCAAATACACAAAACCAAAAACAATGCAGGTAAAGGAGCAATGATAATAGAAGGGGGTTAATCAAGAAAGTCTACCTGAAGAACTAGACTCCGATAAAATATGACGAAAGAAAGAAAACATACAGGCCAGCAGAGATGGGGGAGAGCCATCCCAGACCTGATTAGATTTGGGCCTATGGTTCCATAAAGAATCTAAAGAGTGTTAATGGAATGTCTAGCGCAGCCTTCTGGGTTGTCACACACCAGGGAAGATGAGTTAGTTCTCTGCCTCTCTTTGTGGTGGTTGGCATGGAGTAATAGGGAGAAGCCACATGCATAGGAACAATTTACTTACTCTCTACAGAAAGTAGGGACCTAAGAAGCTACTTGGTTTAGCCAATTCATGATACAGAAAGGTATTACCTTTTTCCTAGGGGAATGCAATAGCTTCTAACTACCGAGGCAATACTTTCCACTCATTTTCCAGAGCTGGTCAAGTCTCTGTGGCAGCAAGCACCCGCTGCTGCTCTAGTGGCTAGTTCTACCCTGGAACAGTTTAGGAAAGAAAGTCATGCCTGTCTTCACTGCCCTGGCATGAACGAGGCCCAAACTCAAGCTAGCCAGGAAAAAGCCCATGCAATTTCTGAAGGACATAACATGAAAACAAGCATGACTGCAGCACCACCTAGTCTTCTGACAGCACTGAGCTGGCTAGCTCCGCAGCTGAAGTCTCATATGTCTGCCTCCTTTAGAAGTTGAATGCCCGCTGGTCCTCCCTGAAGAAGCTTGCAGAGGAACAGCGCCAGCTGCTGAGCAGTGCCCATGCGGTCGAGATATTTCACAGGTGAGAATGTTAACCCTGAAAAGCAATGCGGCCCTCGAATCCATTCAAGGTCTTGTGAGTTTAATTACTGTAGTAGAATCATAGCTATTGGTACAACCCTTGTTGCTGAGCTAGAGATAATACATCGGGTGTTTCCATGGTAGAGCCCTCCCTGGGCTCCTCGGATATTTCCGAACAACAGAATTCATTTCTAGTGCCTAGGCTTTGGTCCTGGTACATAATTACCAGTCTATGTATATTTTCACAATAGTGAATGAAAACTCGAACTCAAAACAAGAGGTTTAAGTCATTGTATTTCCCAACTAGTAGTAGAGAGTAGGGACCATCAGATAGGACATTGATGCTAACTGTTGGTCCAGCGATTTTTTTATGTCCATTTCCAAATCTGTCTACACTAAGGAACTACATAAGCAAACAAACAAGGGCCACCACACGCCTTCACTGTGGATAAATGCATTTTTGAATATTCAGAGGAGGGAAAGCTGGAATGCAGACAAGTCTGGTTGTTCAGAAAGGCTGAGGATGGAGAGCCGTGGAATAGAACAGCTAAACACATGACGGTGGTCAGGCCACAGGTTCAGACTTAGACTCCACCGTTTGGTAGGTGTAACCTTGAGAGAAAAGGCCTCCTCAAGCTCCAGTTTTCTTATATGTAAAATGAGAATGGAAGCTGTGCCTCAAGTAGTGGTCGTGGAGAGTGAATAAGCCTCCGTTCTAGTGCATCAGAAATAATGACCGTGTGGTGACTTCCTTGCGAGCCCAGCTAGTCTGCCTGTCGCATACATCATTAACCCTAAACTCTTTACTTTTGTGTTCAGAGATGCAGATGACACCAAGCAGCAGATTGAAAAGAAGGGCCAGGCCCTCAGCACCGCTGCTCCTGGCTCAGACCTGCTCAGTGTTCAGGCCCTTCAGCGACAGCATAAGGGCTTTGTGAGAGACCTCGCTCCCCTGGGGGAAAAGGTGAGACACGCGCTTCCGAGCTTTCCTGGCACTTTCCTCTTCACATCTATGCCTACCAATGCCCTCTGGGTTTTATTTCCTCGTCCCTTATTCAAACATTGTTTCCTCTGTTACTCCATACTTATTCTTGTACCCTGTCCCTAAGTAAGCCCATTGAGAGGATATGCCACAGGACCACTTACGTGGAGGCAAAACACATGGGAAACAAACCTCTTTTACTGTTTAGGTTCCTCTTTAGTGGGTTCCAAGGGACTAGAACTTACAGAAGGCCAACAGCCTAAAATAAGTAGGAAATGGTCATAACCCAGGATGGCTGGGCCTATGCCTTAGCATGTTGCACTTTCCTTTAGCAAGAAATGAAAGGAACTTAATCCCACTCCAACCTGAAAGTAAGCTCTGGATCTTGCCAGGTACACTCTGGGGCAAATCAGAGGCAGCATAAAGCTTGGCATTGTTATGCAGAGCAAAAAAGAGGCACCGAAAATGCCTGTATTGGCAAGATATTCACAGCAAAAACCAGAACCTCTGGGCTCCTAGATGATGTCCCCACTGATCGGCAGAGTCACTTAACCACCCTGACCAGCAGCCTCCTTATCTTAAAAAGAAACACGGCCATGTTAGGTTCGACTACTTCAGAGAGTCATCACATGTGCCAAAAGGGTTGCTTTATCTTATAAAGTATCTCGGTGTTCTCACAGCTCTCAGCTCACTTTGGGGGGTGAGCATCACCAGGCCTCAGAAAGTCCTTTTGCTAAGGTTCGGGTGTCCCTCTACACTGATGATCTGGGCTCTTGCACCTCTCAGGTGACCACACTGGTGGAGACAGCAGAGCGGCTCAGTGAGTCCCACCCAGATGCCAGGGACGACCTGCAGAGGCAGCAGACGGAGCTGAAGGAGGCCTGGGATGACCTCATGGAGCAGACGGAGCATCGTAAGCAGAGCCTGAACAAGGCCCAGAAGTACTACCAGTTCTTCAGCAAGGCCGGGTAAAGCTCTGAAGGCGGACTTCCACCAGGTGGGGTGGGAAATTCCTGCGCCTGGCCCCTCAGCAGGGCTTCTAGGAGCAGTCGGGGCACAGGGCACAGTCACTCTTGGGTTTGGGGGGCACCTCTATGTCCAGATTGTACCTCTGGCAAGGCACAGAAATCTCAGGTTCAGTACTTCAAGCCATAGAATATTGACATTTGAAGGAATGTTGAGACCGTCAAGGCCAACTCAGTAAGCTCCCATAGAGTGTACGCTGAAGAAGGGTGCTTTGTCAGGAGTTGTAAGATTTGGATGTTTCATTCTACTGTAAAGGCAGAGAAGAATGCAGATAACCATGGCAGAATATAATACAGCCCCGAACACATATTCCAGCAATTAGATGGAACTATATAAACAAAGGTACAAGCATAAGAAAGGTGCAGCACGATCATAAAGGCAGGGGCAGCTGGAGCACCGGTCCTGTATGTTGGAGGGGTAAGGGAAAAGTAGCAACAGAGAAACTTAGAAATGTTGAGATTGAATCCTAGAGAATTTTCATCGCCTTGCTAAAGACTCTAGACATTACCACAGTTGAGCAAGTACACACTTTGTCTGCAGAACAATTCCCCCATTCTACCCTTTCATGTCAGTCTGCTGGGAGGAGCCTTTAGAACTGAGGGTCCAAGAAACAGAGCTCACAATGCCATGCTTATGAAGCAAAAAGGAGGCAGCTTTTGGCAATGACCGCAGTTGTTCTTAGCCACGCCCCCCACAATTCAGCATCTCTAGGAAGAGATAGTTTTTCATGCAGTATTAATAAATAGCAGCCACACTAATTCCCCCAAATCATATATATACTCACATATCTCTGTGTATATAGATTCTACCTAGACTTTACATTGCAAGCCATTGCTGCCTCCTTCCCTTTAGTGAGTCTTACTTTTCAATACTGCAGAAATCTGAGCCTCAGAGCAACTCTAGCACCTAATCTCACCTCTTTACGACACTCTTGTTTTCCAGGGTTCTTTTTTTTTAAAGCAGGTATTAGCATCTCTGCTTTTATTATTTTTGCTTTTATTTTTCTTTTAATTTAAAGTGTGAGCTCCTAGAAGGCATGAATATGTCTTTTTTATGGTGTTTGGTACTTAGTAAGCACCCAAGAAAACTTAGTTGTTTGAATAAGCGAATAAATGACTTTACAGAAGAAGAGAGAACATTCTGCCCCTGAGTGGGTGTTTCCTATTTAGCAAACGGGATAAGGACACTCCTTATGAGATGCTTAATTTGACCATCATGTATAATTTTAAGTCAATGCATTCTTATTTGACATTTACCCTCTGGGGCAGGTGGACCTTAGCCCTCTTTGTGTACCTTCTTCTCTGCTGAAAGGGTAAGAAATAGGCCCTCATTTAGTCAACAGCATGGAGTGCATGTTTGTATGTGATATGGGCAGAGGCATGTACTGGAGTCTACTGGGAATAAGAGCAAGAGGAAAGACATGCCTTTCCTGGGACTCCATAATAAGATAGACCTTTAAGCCCAAGAATCCACTTTAAAGGAACAGGAATTATTATGAGTAACGGAATGTGTCCCAGCAGGATTCCAGTATCTGGGTTCTAGTTGAGATGTCTGTTTTTAATTATGTCACTTGGGCAAACCACTTATACTCTCTAGGCTGACTTCCTCATGTCCAAAATGGAAACAAAAAGGATCTCCAGAATTCTATACAGGATTATTGCAAGAGTTGAAAGAGATAATATAAGTGAAGAGACTTTAAAACATAAGAAATTGCTATTAGTCAGTCATTGAACTTACTTCTGAGTTGTGAAAAATAACAAACCTAAGATTTGAGAAGCATGTAAAGTCAGATAGGAGGTGTTAATCTGGAAAGGGGTTCTAGAGAGGAAAAAGCCCAAGAAATACAGCCCTGTAGCAGGTTGCAAAGTTCTCTCGTCAATCCCGGTATGTCTGTTTCTCTAGAGACCTAGAGAATTGGATCAGTGAGACTGGTGGCAAGGTGTCATCCCAGGAGCCAGCTAAGGATTTAATTGACACAGAGATGTCGATAGAGCGACACAAGGTAAGGCTACAAAAGCCATAGCCACAGATCACATGACCTCACACTCTTTCGTCATTTTACAGTTTCAGTGAGATATTATTGGTCTCTTTCCCTTTCTCCCTCAGGAACATCATATCGACATGGAAGCTAAGGCTCCTGCCTTCCAGGACTTAGAAGATTTCGGTGCAGAACTTATAGGCACTGAGCACCCTGCCAGCCCTGAAATTGAAGAAAAGCTTCAAGCTGTCAGACTGGAAAGAGATGATTTGGAGAAAGCTTGGGAAAAACGCAAGAAGATGCTGGATCAGTGTCTGCAGTGGCAGGTAGAGCACGTTCCCCACTGCTAGGCAGGAGCAGCCTCCGTCTTCCCCTTCTGTGTGCTTCTCCATGGTCAGCACAAGAGCTCATTTCACTGGACTTCCCGTGCTGTAAGCACAGGGCATCCCTTCATTGTCTGGCATGGTATTCTCTGCTTTCTAAACTGATCACTGTGGGGTTCTTTGATTTTATCCTTGTTAGAAGAACCAACCAAAATGAGAGTAAGCCTTGGGCATGAAGTGAGGTCATTGTAATTAATTTATTGACTGATGGAAGGTTCAAGTGATTGATTTTTTACTGTGAACCCACAGTATTCAAGGCCCTAAGAACACATAGATAGTATCCCTTTTCTTAAGTGGTGAAATTAGACATGTAGGCAGATCATTCTAGTATAGTAAAATGAGTATTAATAAAACAAAATATATGAATGTTTGGAGGCTAAAGAAGAGACAGTGATTGACTCTTTTAAGGGAATAGGGTGAGAGTGTCACAGGCTATTCTAAAGGATGGTGTTCACCAGAGTCTTAAAGAAATAACCAGCCAGTATCCACCAGGCATAGTGTATGGGAACTAGAACCCTAGAAATGGAGTACAGCTTATATAGAAACGTAAAATGAACTTTCAGGAAAGACTAAAAGGTCCAGTGTAACAAAGATTCATGGTGTGAATGTTTCTTGCAAGAATGATGCTTCCTACAGCACCCCTTACATCAGAGCCACAGGAGAGCAGTAGGACCACGTCCTGTCTCCTGGAGCGCCTGTACCATATATGCGCTCATTTCATTCTCCGTAGTTGTTCCAAGGGGACTGCGATCAGGCTGAGAGCTGGATGGCGGCGCATGAGAACTTACTGAGGTCAGATGAGCAGGGCTCCTTAGACAGCCTGGACGCCTCGGCGAAGAAACGTGATGATCTGGACGAAGCAATCACTGCCCAGGTGATAACAACTAATAGGAGTTCCGGTAATAACTATTAGTAATAATAACAGAAATCCTACACATGTATGTGGTTTTATGATTTTAAGTATTTTAATTCCCGTTTGCTTCTTCCAGAAAACTGTGAAGTAGGCAGAGCAGCTTGACATTGTGGCTTAGTCTTACCCAGGTCACATGTGGCTTTGGACTTTCTTACATTAAAACCAGCTTCTAAAACCTGACTTTCACAACTGGAAGTGACTTTATGAATGTCTATTTCAACATTCTGCCCAGTGAAGGAATCACCGCTTACAATGGCCTTGGGGAGTGTCGGTTATTTAGGGGACTCAGTACCCACAAGTAGCCCGACTCAGTATCATTATTAATGTTTCTTTTCTTCCTGAGTTAAAATCCACCTGCCTGAAAGGCATTTACCCTTTGGCCCAGGTTTTGTTCCCCTTTATGAAGCTATGAAGGGATCTCTAGTCTCTTCCGAGAGGGAGTCCCTGATTGCACCAAGGGTCTAATCTCCAGGAATCTGGGCTTTTCCCTTTTCCCTCATCTAGGATCAGAAGATCACTGAACTACAAGACCGTGCTGAGAAGTTCAGAGCTGATGACCACTATGCCGAGAAAGAGATCTCTGCTCGGCTCCAACTGGTGCTAGACAGGTCAGTCCTGAGCAATTGTTTTACGGACCAAAAGAAGATGTGATAAAGTGACCTCTTTGCTCGCATTGAGGATGGGGGGTAATGAGTTCATTTCCCAATGCCTATAACTATGTTGACGTTTTGAGAGACTTTCTGACCTAGATTCAGAATGAAAGACACCGAAGTTAACTTAAAAATGATGTGACTTAACCACTTAACCATCTGAAAATAATGAAACTATGTTACATGTAACATATAAATTTATAAATAATGTATACTATATATAATATAATATATAACTATGTTATCTATAACATAGAAATATATAAATAATGAGAGAAGGGACAGGTTGGCAAATGGGAAAATTCATGGATATGGCAGTCGAGCTTGGTGGAAGGGTAGAGGGCAGAGAGTGACCTAGTCCCCTCCTCCAGATGGGGGGCCCTCAAGCCACAGCTGATTGCTGAGCGGACCAGACATGCGGACTATGTTGACCTACAACAATTGTGCCGTGACCTTGAGGACCTGGAAGAATGGATCAGTAGGATGATGCCCATAGCCTGTGAGGAATCTTACAAAGACCCCACCAATATTCAGGCAAGTTCAAAACAGGAATCTTGGAAACATGTCAGCATACCCGGATTGTCGGATGAATGGTCACCTCCCTACATGGAATGCCTCCTGCTTTGAGACACTGTCCCTGACCTCAGTGACTTGAGTCGAATGTGGGTCCTTAAGAAGTCATCTTCACTTTGGCTATGAGAACATTAGCTCTTCCTTTTAAACAGAATTTATCTTTATCTTAGAGGGTAATTTGATTTCTGCTTTCCCTTCAGAGAAAATACCTGAAGCACCAGAGCTTCGAAGAAGAGGTCAAAGGCAGAGCTGAGCAAGTGGATGGAGTCATCAACTTAGGGAAGTCTCTGATTGAGCGGAATGCATGTGGAGGCAGGGAAAACTGCCTGAAGGTAGAGTGTCTCCTTGGGGTGGCTTCTGGGCTGCAAAGGCACATGTAGAGAAATATTCACTCCTTCAGTGTTTCCGGGTACGGATATGGAATATGCTCTGTGGTTAACAGTCTTCCCTCCGATTGTTGCACAGAGGGGAAAACGGTGATGCTCAGACCTTACCATTCCCATCATACTCAGTTCCTGGAACTCCAGGAAAGCTTTAGACTTAATTCCTAAGTGTTATCATGATTGTTTTACATTTTCTGTCCCTATGCCTATAGTTCTAGCATTTAGGCATCAGTCCCTATAATCAGTCCAGCCCTTTCTTCAAACTTTCTTCCAACACCTCTTCAGTTTTCTCAGATTAAGCACAACTGGTTTATAGCGTGTGGTGTCCAAGTACTAGCAGAGTTTGGTTAGCCCCTGACTCCAGAGCCTCCCTGCATGATCCTCTCAAGTTGTCACAGGACACAGGATCCCAAAGATCATAATGATCCCTCAATTTCTTTGGGTTAGGAGGACCTGGAAGAGCTTAGGAAACACTGGAATGACTTGCTTGAGAAGACAACTGACAAAGGTCAGAAGCTTGAGGAGGCCAGTCGCCAGCAGAGGTTCAACACAACCACCCAGGACTTTAAGTTCTGGCTGTCAGAGGTAATTGCACCTGTGAGGCCATGGGAGGTCATATAAATGGATTTAGGCATGAATAATTT